TCACGTGACCCTCCCTGCACCTGCTCCCTGGCCTCTCGCGTGACCCTCCCCGCACCTGCTCTGAACGTGATTCGTCTTCCTTTTCAGTGGCCCCTTGTTGGGGCAGGTCCCGCTGCTGATACACACATAGTCATGCTGACATGGGAGAAACTGCGTTTGCCTCCGGCCCTCATGTCTGAGGCCAGTGTGGGGCAGGATGGGGCCTCTGTTCTCTGCCATGGCCCCGGTGTTGAGGCACCACCTGGAGTCAGGTGGGGGCCTGGTCTTGGCATCACGGGGGCCTGAGGCCTGGCCTGTAATGATCAGCGGTCACGGCTGTCACAGCCCTTGTGCCCAGCGTGAAGGCAGTGAAGGGGAGGCCAGGCTGGGTCTTCTGCAGTATGTCTCCTGCCAGGCAACACCTGCTGTGGGGGGCTGGAGACCCCACAACATCTAAGTCGGGGATGGCCCAGGACTCTGAAGGCAGAGGCAGGGAGGGACAGAAGCCTCTTTTTTCTCCCTCATTTTCCTGCCTGTGAAACGTGAGGGAATAATTACTTTTCCCTGGACATTTTAGGCCAGGCATGGTGGCTCACACCTGTAATCCCAGCACTTTGGGAGGCTGAGGCGGGTGGATCACCTGAGGTCAGGAGCTGGAGACCAGCCTGGGCAACATGGTGAAACCCATCTCTACTAAAATACAAAAAATCATCCAGGTGTGGTGGTGTGCGCCTGTAGTCCCAGCTACTTGGGAGGCTGAGGCAGGAGAATCGCTTGAACCCGGGAAGCGGAGGTTGCAGTGAGCCAAGATCGCACCACTGCACTCCAGCCTGGGCGACAGAGCGAGACTTCGTCTCCTGGGAAAAAAAGTTCTGTCATGACGAAGGAAAGGTGTGGTAACAAGTCTGAGCACAGGAGTGTGTGACACAAAGCTGCCGACCCCCCGGCTGCAACCCCTTCCCCCATGAGGGCTGCGTGTGGCCGTTTGAGGGGGTCCTTGCGGAAAGGGGTGGAATATTCCCACACTTGCTTAGTTTTCTCCTGTTAAACGCATTTGGCATTTCAGGTGAGCCCTACTCAACTCATCAGCTGGAAAATGGGGTTTGTAACGTGGGAGACCCAACCACTGCTCCTTTCCCAGGGAGGACTGTGGGTGAACGTGTCCCAGCAGTTCGTCCGTGGAAGTTCTGGCCCCCTAGGGGCTAGATGTGGCCTCACTTGGAAACAGGGTCCCTGTGGGGGTGGCCCCGACTCCCAGGTGACCGTCGTCCTTGTGAAAGGGTGACATTGGGACGTGCGCACCGGGAGAAGCCGCATTAAGACAGCAGAGCTCGTGTACGGCCTCCACACAGGACGCGGCCGCGGCACGGGCTGGAATGGATGCCCCTGGCTTGGCCGGCATCCTGATTCTGGGCTTGGGAACACATTTCTGTTGTGTAGGCCGTCCGGGCGATGGCCTCTCGTTAGGGCAAGGTCCTTGGGTCTAAGAAGAGACGGGAGTGACGCCGGAGCGGGCCAGGGGCACCAAATTCAGAAACGATTCCGTGTGTCCGTCGACACTGCGAGGCAGGGCCATCTTCGGCATGTCTCAGATGAGCGGGCGCCGCCGGCATCAGGGCCCTGTCCCGGCACTGGGCAGGGACCAGCCCTAAGCCAGGAAATCTCCCTCCTCCAGGAGCCTTGAGGTGGTTTGAGCCCAGAGCTTTGGAAATGTTCAGGACCAAGGTTATGAATGCTTTAAATCCTTATCGGTCTGTGGGGTTTTTTTTGTGTAGGAAATTTTATTCTTTTTTCTTAAGAATGTTTCTTTAAGCGTGAGGGATGGCCACAGCGTGGGTCATTTAACTGAGTCCTCAGTCGGGGTAAGAGTCGCTTCAGCTGTGGCTGGGCGTTCTCATCGTTGCTGGGATGTGCGAGTTGCTGTGTGTAGGAGTCTGTTCAGACCCCGTTAGCCGTGAGCGGAAACCCACAGCAGACATCCCACTCTGGTCGCGCTGGTGCCCTCCGGCGTTTGCTGCCCTGCTTCAGGCGGAGACACAGCCCGCCCCCTGCACACCCGCGCCCAGCGTCTCCCGCGCTGCCTCTCACGACCTCCGCCTGTGCTCAGCTTGGGTAACGCTTGTTCTTACCTCCACAGAGTCTGTAGACGAGGCGACCCCAGAGCTTCCAAATGAACGACCGGAAGGAAGATATGGAAATCGCGTCCCACTACCGGCACCTGCTGCGGGAGCTCAACGAGCAGAGGCAGCACGGCGTCCTGTGTGACGTCTGTGTGGTCGTGGAGGGCAAGGTCTTCAAGGCGCACAAGAACGTACTGCTGGGCAGCAGCCGCTACTTCAAGACGCTCTACTGCCAGGTGCAGAAGACGTCGGAGCAGGCCACGGTCACGCACCTTGACATCGTCACGGCCCAGGGCTTCAAGGCCATCATCGACTTCATGTACTCAGCGCACCTGGCACTCACCAGCAGGAACGTCATCGAGGTGATGTCCGCCGCCAGCTTCCTGCAGATGACAGACATCGTGCAAGCATGCCACGACTTCATCAAGGCCGCGCTGGACATCAGCATCAAGTCCGACGCCTCGGATGAGCTTGCGGAGTTTGAGATCGGCGCCTCGTCCAGCAGCAGCACGGAAGCGCTCATCTCGGCCGTGATGGCCGGCAGGAGCATCTCCCCGTGGCTGGCACGGCGAACGAGTCCTGCCAATTCTTCTGGAGACTCGGCCATCGCCAGCTGTCACGACGGAGGGAGCAGCTACGGGAAGGAGGACCAGGAGCCCAAGGCCGACGGCTCCGACGACGTTTCCTCGCAGTCCCTGTGGCCTGGAGACGTGGGCTACGGGCCTCTGCGCATCAAGGAAGAGCAGATCTCCCCGCCTCAGTACGGAGGGAGTGAGCTGCCTTCTGCCAAGGACAGCGTGGCGCAGAACTCCTTCTCGGAGCAGAGCACTGGCGATGGCTGGCAGCCCACAGGCCGCAGGAAGAATCGGAAGAACAAAGAGACTGTCCGGCACATCACACAGCAGGTGGAGGACGACAGCCGGGCCAGCTCCCCAGTGCCGTCCTTCCTGGCGACGTCAGGGTGGCCGCTCAGCAGCCGAGACTCAAGTAAGCCTTCCGCTCATTCCAGGCTCAGCGGCCCTGGGGTGTCCAGGCCACAGTGTGCTGTGGGGACGGGTGATGCATGTCCAGGCTCATACCGGTGGCTTCCTGGGGTCACTTTCTTTTACAGGAAGTGGTTGTGACCGCAGGGAATGCAGCCGGTACATCTCAAAGGCCAGGGCAGCACCAGGGCCCCCAGAGACCCTGCATATCTGTCCCCGTGGGCACAGTGCTGGCATCACCCACACATGGGGGCTGCCTGGGCTGGGCCCCTCCGAAGCCAAAGGGGCGTGAGTGGGGTGACTCCTGGTGGGCCCCTTTCAGCCCTGGTGAGGGCGTGGCCTGCAGGGTCCACTGCCCTGGCCTGTGGGACCCTCTCGTGAGCCCCAGCGGCGGTAACAGCTGGCCACTTACCAGGGTGGCCGTCAGTCCAGGCTTTTCATCCGGGGACGTGGGCCTTTGGTTGCTGTTGCTGTAGTGAATGTTGAGCAGATACATCGTGTGAGTGCAGTCTGTCCTTGGCACCTCAGCGCGCCTTGACTGGGGATCTGAGGGGTCACAGCTGTGAAGCAGCCTTTCACGGGAAGGGGGTTTGTATTTGCTGACAAGTGTGGGTTCTGCCTGTCTAAACCAACAGATGGTGTTTGTTTCTTTTCTTTTTTCTTTTTTGAGAAAAGTCTTGCTCTGTCACCCAGGCTGGAGTGCAGTGGCGCAATCTCGGCTCACTGTAGCCTCCACCTCCCGGGTTCAAGTGATTCTCCTGCCTCAGCCTCCCAAGTAGCTGGGATTACAGGTGCCTGCCACCACGCCCGGCTGATGTTTTTGTATTTTAGAAGAGGCAGGGTTTTACCATGTTGGCCATAGTGGTCTTGATCTCCTGACCTTGTGATCCACCAGCCTTGGCCTCCCAAAGTGCTGGCATTACAGGTGTGAGCCACCACGCCCAGCCTTTTTTCTTTTTGAGACAGAGTCTCTTTCTCTCACCCAGGCTGGAGCGCAGTATGGCTCACTGCAACCTCTGCCTCCCAGGTTCAAGCGATTCTCCGGCCTCTGCCTCGTGAGTAGCTGGGACTACAGGTGTGTGACACCACGTCCGGCTAATTTTTGTAATTTTAGTAGAGATGGGGTTTCACCATGTTGGCCAGGTTGCTCTCGAGCTCCTGACCTCAGGTGACTCTCCCGCTTTGGCCTTCCAAAGTGCTGGGATTACAGGTGTGAGCCAGCATGCCCAGCTGATGTGTTTTTCTTACACCGCATGATGTAAGGTCTTGCCTTGGGTCCTGCCTGTTATTTACTGCAAAGGGGCTCTGAGTTTAGCTTTGTTGAAGCTGGACGTCACCACTGGAATGGCTGTCTCCTATGTGTCTTCCAGACTTGTAAATGATAAATTAAATGTTTGCGGAATACTGGTCACTATTCCTGGTGCTGAACATGTAATATTGATAATAACTGTGGGGATTTGGCATCTGCCCTTTCCCCCAGGCTGCAACCCAAGTCAAGGAAGGCTATTTGGAGTTGGGTTGGTGGTGCTTGCGCCTCTAGTTCCAGCCGCTTGGGAGGCTGAGGCAGGAGGATGGCCTGAGCCCAGGAGGTCCGTGATCCTGCTGCTGCCCTCCAGCCTGGACGACAGAGCCAGACCCTGTTTCTTAATAAAAAACGAAGGAATGGAGGCTTCCTAGCAGGTGCTGCCCATGGGGAGCTCCTCCAGGATGAAGCCAAGAAATGAACGTGGGGGTGCGTGAGTGGATGGAGGACGGAAGGCAGCAAACCGCAGGGTTGAGAGCCCTGAAAAACATTGCAGGTGCCAAGTGTGTGTGTGGGTGGCATGGCTGCCTGCTCCTCTGGCTAGAGGGCTTCCTGGGCAGGGTGGGTGTGGCCTGTTCTCCTGACCCTGGTTCCTGTCCATCTCTGAGAGATCTCTGAGAGCTGGGAGTGAACGCAGCCCAATACGTTAGCTTTTATCATTGTGGTAGAACACACGTAACATAAACCTTACCGTTGTAACCGTTTTAAATGTACATTCCACTGGCATGAAGTACGGTCCTGTGTTGCCTGATGACAGGCATAGGTTCTAAGACGTGCATCGTCAGGCAGTCCTGTTGCTCTGGGATCAGGATCGTGGAGCACGCGGCAGAGACGTTTGGGAAGTGCCGCCGGTTGCAGGCCCAGCACGAACCCCCCCAGTGCAGTGAACCCGCCGCAGGCAGCTGTGACGCCACAGGAAGTGTCTGCGTGTCTACAGAAAGGGTGTGGTAAAAATGTGGTGTCAAAGATAACAGCGTGCCTGGGTAGCGCACCTGCAGTGAATGGAGCTTGCCGGCCTGGAGTTGGTCTGGGTGAGCGAGTGGTGAGTGAGCGTGAAGGCTGAGGATGCGACTGTGCCCTGCTGGAGACTTAGAAACACTGCGTGGAGCCTACACGCAACTTACTTTTTTACAGTGCTAGGACATTGCAATGGCTATGATGTCACCGGGTAACAGGAATTTCCCAGCTTCGTTCTCATCTACGGGACCATGATGGGACCACGGTTGTTATCTGTGGTCTGTCCTCCTGTGGCACATGAAGTTATGCAATCAGAACTTTTGCATCATCCCAAAGGGAAACTGTATCCATGAGGCAGGACCTTTCCCTTGCCTGTCCCCCACCTGCTGCTTCTGCATTGACGCAATGTAGCTTTCGTTAAGTGTGTGCTGTTCTGCGTATTCACAATGTAGCTTGTGAATGTATTCACAATGTATTCACATTCTCTGCTCAGTTGTTGTTGTTTGTCCTGCCCTGAGCTATGACCAAGCCCTGGATGTTCAGTAATAGATGGTGGTAGAGTGTGGTCGCTCACTCCTGAATCCCTTTTGGAGGCACTTTGGGAGGCCGAGGCAGGAGGATGGATCCCTTGAGGCCAGGAGTTTGGGACTCTCCTGGGCAAAGTGGTGAAATGCCATCTCTAACACACAGCCAGCTGTGGCTGGCATGGTGGTTCATGCCTGTAATCCCAGCACTTTGGGAGGCTGAGGTGCATGGATCACTTGAGGTCAGAAGTTCAAGACCAGCTTGGCCAATGTGGTGACTCACTGTCTCTACTAAAAATACAAAAATTGACCAGGCTTGGTGGCTCACGCCTGTAATCCCAGCACTTTGGGAGGCTGAGGCGGGCAGATCATGAGGTCAAGAGATAGAGACCATCCTGGTCAACATAGTGAAACCTCATCTCTACTAAAAATACAAAAATTAGCTGGGCGTGGTGGCCTGTAGTCCCAGCTACTCGGGAGGCTGAGGCAGGAGAATTGCTTGAACCTGGGAGGCGGAGGTTGCAGTGAGCTGAGATTGCGCCATTGCATTCCAGCCTGGGTAACAAGAGCAAAACTCCGTCACACACACACAAAAATACAAAAATTAGCCGGACGTGGTAGCTGGTGCCTGTAGTCCCAGCTACTCCAGAGACTGAGGCAGGAGAATTGCTTGAATTAGGGAGGCAGAGGTTGCAGTGGGCTGAGATCACACTACTGCACTCCAACCTGGGCAACAAAACAAGGCTCTGTCAAAAAGTTTTGGTGTGGTGGTTCCTGTAGTGTCCCAGCTATTCAGGAGGCGGAGGTGGGAGGATCACCTGAGCCTGGGAGGTTGAGGCTGCATTGAGCTGTGATCATGCCACTGCACTCCGGCCTGGGAAGCAGACTGAAACCCTGTCTCAAAAACAAACAAAAAACCCAAAACAAACAAAAAACACAGCAGTTGGTTTAACTCGGAGTTTCTCAGCCTCAGGCTGAACTGTGCTCCATTGTGGCACCGTCCTGGGCACTGCAGGGTGTCAGCAGCACCTCTGGCCTCCACCCACAGATGCCAGGAGCACCTGCCTTTGGTTCCCCCACTGATACAACTGAAAATGTCTGTAGACATTACCGGTTGGGCAAATCGTTTCTCTCTCTGCTGCTGTACATGGGGAGGGTGTACAGGCAGCAGGCCAGGGGCAGTGGCCTTTCCATCTGCTCATAACTGTTTATAATCTTCCCTTAGCTCCAACAAAACCTGAGAAGCAGTGGTCCCTGGCAAGTGGCACGGCTTTGGGGGGAGTATTGTGGTGTTTTCAGATGTGCTGCAGACCCCTCCCACCGGTCCGGAGTGCATGTGTGTGAGTCACTGGCAGGGGCCGGTGCTGGATGCCTTTATATTATGGGAGTCAATCCAGGCACAGAGAAGTGTGCACTCCCTGAGCCTGTGGGCTGAATGCTTTAAATGCAGTTGTCAAGCAGAAGGTGTTTTTAGAATCCAACAAGTGATTTTGGCTGTGTACTTTTGTTAGAGTCTTAAATCCCTGGGGTTTCCAAGGCAACTGTGAAACTCTTCCCATTAGATGATTCTGAGTTGCTAAGGCGAGGACACAAGGCTGTGAGCTCCGAGAGGGTGTTCTGCCCACGCCGTGGCGGTCGCTGACTCCCCGAGCTCTGTCCTCCGCCCAGGCCCTTGGGCCAGGATTTGGAAGCTTGGGGTTTGGAAGTAAACCGTGATCCCATGGAGGTCAGTTTGTTTCCATAAGATTTATTACATTGTAGAGAAGAGGGTTTTAAATTCTCATCACATTTATAGAAGCAAAGACTTTTTTCTTTTTTTTTTTATTTTTGAGACAGAGCTTCGCCCAGGCTGGAGTGCGTTCACGCGATCTCAGCTCACTGTATAGCCTCTGCCTCCCAGGTTCCAGCAATTCTCTTGCCTCAAACCTCCAAGTAGCTGGGATTACAGGCACCCACCACCATGCCCAGCTAATTTTTATATTTTTGGTAGAGACGGGGTTTTACCATGTTGGCCAGGCTGATCTTGAATTCCTGATCAGGTGATCTGCCTGCCTCAGCCTCCCAAAGTGCTGGGATTGCAGGTATGAGCCACTGTGCCTGGCCACAAAGTCCCTTTTCTAAGGACACGTGTCAAGTGGTCACTGCAGATCATTCGACGGGGATGTCCCAACCCCTCTGTGCGTCCCAACCCCTCTGTGTGTCGTCCTGGCGACCCCAGGG